CAACAATATATGTAACATATAATTACGTTTATTTTGTACTTACTCTCTCTCTGTTAACATACCTTCTCACCCTTATTGCAGAAAGGTTGCATCATTTATCGACACTCTGTAGTCAACGTTAGATAATTTTTGTCATTTCCTGAGATATAACACATAATATATAATAAATAAAAACACGACTAAAACGCAAAGTTATATATCTAACAGCATGATTACGAATTATTCAACATTCAAACTCGTTTAACATCATTCGTTTTCCGTTATTGTACGTTTCAAAGTATTCCACGAAGAAAAGGGAATTTTGTTTTCTCCGGCAGGTGTCCTCGGGGCAGCTGTGTTCGCTCCTTCTTCGTTGAGGAAGAAAAAAAAAAGTAAAAAAAAAAAATAGTTAGAGAAATATAAGAAGAAGAAATGGAGAAATCGCTAAAGAAATGTACAAGAATCGATAAAAGTAAGCCACGCTCGAGAACGCGTCACGCTCGTTTACGCCACTTTTGCGCCAGTTTACACGAGTAATCAGTTCACGTGTTAAGGTTTACTTTTACGAGAGAGAGAGAGAGAGAAAGAGAGAGAGAAATCTGTTCGAAAAGAATTCTCGAGAACGAGAGTGAACATCACTCAATACAACTTGAAAGAAAAAAAAAAAAGCAAATATTTCTTTACTGTATATTATTAAATATTACTCATTTTATCCAATATTCTTGATAACTAGCAACTTATTACTTACTTATTACACCTAACAATAATAATAATAATAACACAATATATAAACAATATATTAATTTATTTATTTGATTTTAAAAGATACCGGCCAATCGTTTATGGGTAGATTGATCTTTATTAAATTATGTTACACGAACAATTATTATTATTATTATTATTATTATTGTCATTTTAAATCAACATTAAATATAATAATGTAATATAATCCGTGAAATAATAATAATAATATTCTTGTTATGATTAAGTAAGTTATTACTTATTACTATATTATAACACAATCAAAAAAAATAATATAATAATATTCATTTATTTATTTGTGTGATCTTATAAAATGAAAAAAAAGGCCGGTAGAAGTTTCTGGGTAAGAACGCGAATACACAGGTATAACTTATTTCGTATGCGTTCCACGCAAGTAGACGCACCTGCGTGTTCCACGAGCGTGTCCAGACGAAGCGGGTTGGTTAGGGGCCACCGACCTCTTCTTCTTCTTCTTCTTCTTCTTCTTCTTCTTCTTCTTCTTCGGTATCTACCTTTCCAGAATTTCCAGAGGTAAAAGCCGTCCGAGAGAAGGTCGACTGCCCAGACTTTGATCCTTTTCTTTTTCTTTTTTTTTTTTTTTGGTAAAAATCAATCTTTATCACCTGCATTAAATGCCCTCCAAAACAAAACAAAATACATCCACTAATACTCCCCCCCCCCCATATAGATTTTTATTTCCAACCGATAATTACGAGACTGAATTAAATAATTAAAAAAAAAAAAGAAGAAATCTATTTTGTAATTTGTTTTTATAAAACAAAAAAATATATTATATTTGTTTTTATAAAAAATTTATGATAAAACATTTGAAAGTAGAAAACACGTATAATAGAAAAAAAAAGATTATATTAGTCATATGATTATAATATGAACATTACATTTAACATATTATAACACAGATATATTTAGAAAAATATTCTGTATAAATAGATAAATAAATACAGATAAATTTATTGATCAATGTATATAAATAATATGATATTATATAGGTAAAATAAATTCATTCCTTTTGAAATAAATGCAATATCGTAGTTCCTCGTTAAAAATTAGAATTGCATAGTAGGTAATAATGCTGTTGTAAATCAGTTAAAAATGTATGGTGAAACATCACTAAACCAAGTAAGATTCGCCTGTACGTTATTAATGGCAGCCACTGTACCTACCTCTATATACGAACTATACGAACTATGTAAAAATGCAGAATCGCTTTGTCCCAGTACTGTGTGGTTGCAGCGCCCTTAGGTTAGTCATGTGGATATTACTGCGACGATATCTATGGCGTGGGTTGCTTTGTTCCTCCTCGTCGGCCTATCTTTACCCTCAGTAAGCCCTCGCAATGGCGTAACCTCACTGTGTTAAAACACCTCTCTCTCTCTCTCTTTATCTTTCCTTACACGTTTTCCCTTTTTTTCTTTTTTAAATGAATTCTTGTTTAAATTACACGTAATTTCTTCTAATTATAAATCGTATATTTAATGTTTCATTTTTATATTTCTTTATTATTATTATTATTATTATTATTTATATTTAATTATTAATATCGTGTGTTAATATACGTTCTTCTGTACACAAATTTTGTAATATATTTTAAAATTAAAATAATAGAGATATACGAGTTTATATTTTGTTTTTTTTCTTCATTTCAAATTCTTTCTCGTTAACCGTGATATAATTTGGAACAATTTTCGTAGGGGAGGGGGAGGGGGAACATTTCTTTCTTTTTTTCTTCTAGATTACCTTAACGATCTTATACTTCTTTTTTTTTGTTTGTCCTTATATTAAACGCTCCTTGGTATATTTTTTGTTCGAATAAAAATTCAAACGTGTTGCTACGTCACTGGACGCCTCAATGTGTATACCCGCTTGCTGTTCCCTGCCATTGTGCGAACACGCATGGCAGGAGACCATAAAAGGGTTATTGTTTCGACGGATGGTGATACCTGTGCGAAGAAGTCGCCTTGTTTTACGTCGGTGAACTAACCTCGTGTATTTATCGTAGAGGATCGTTTTGGTTCCATCATTGGATACTGTTACTCGATCATTCATTATTTTTTTTTCTCTTTTTTTTTCCTTTTTTTTTACATATAAAATATTATAATATAATGTCGACACACACATATTATTATTTATTAACTAAATCAATAACAATAATAAATTATTCATATTTTAATTTAATAGTATAAATAAAATGATTTTA